AAAAGTACGTCTTCCGCGCGATGTCTGCCGCGATCTCCGATGTTTAGCCGCAACCGGGCGGTACAATTTCAGTTCAGTGTTCTCACTGGCGATCGGCCAAACCGCCGGTTTCGCTCCGCCGCGCGCCGCCAACTCGCGCCTCTAACGAGCGGATTGTACTACAGTCATAAAGAATACAGTCGTCACCTTTTCACGTGGTCGACACAACGGTGGTGCTCGCCGGCGGTGAATGCGTCGGATTCGTCGTTGTCGTCGTCGTCGTCGTCGTCGTGGTCACCGTCGCCGTTGTCGCCGTCGTTGCGCTGCTCGACTGCTCGACTTTCGGCTCGGACACTCGCGCGCTCGGCTCCTTCTCCAGACATAGTTTCTTCGTTTCTTTATGCTCGCCGGACGAGCTGGACTTCCTCTTGTGCTTCGAGCTCGACGAATGGGAGCGATTCGTCGACGTCACGTGGCCGTCCTTGCCGGTGCTGCTGCTGGACGACCTCTTCTCTTCATGCCTGTGACTGCAGTGATGGCCGCAGTGGCACTTTCTCCTCTTCTCCTCCGACTTCTTCTCGCCATCCTTCGAACTCGCCTGCTCCGATTTCTCCACGACGGGGTAATTGTGCGACAGTGGCTCGGTGACCTCCTCCTTGCCGGCGTCGTCGGATGGCTTGGAATCGGATTTCAGCTGGGGGCTCCGATGGCGGTGCCGACTGTGCTTCCGTTCCCGCCTTTCGTGGTCCCTCCGCTTGTGCCTCCGCTCGCTGCATTCTTTCTCGTCTCTGCACTTTTTGCATTTTGATTTCGAGTGCGTCGCGGCGGAGTGGGGAGGCTCCGACGACTTGGACGAGTTTTCCTCGCTGCTGGCGTTCCTGCTGTTACTGTGCCTCTCGTTCTCGGTAGACGGCGACGTGGAGGACGTCACGGACGAGGAGGAATACGAGGAGACACTGGTCGTCATCGTTGTCGACGTCGTTGTCGAACTCTCGTCGCAGGCGTTGCCGCCACCGCTCGCGAACTCGGCGCTCTTCTCGTTCTTCGCCTTCTCCTTCGCCTCGTCCTCCGCCATCTCGATCAACGCCCTGACGGCGTTGTCCGTTGCGAGCTTGATCTCCGTCACAAATGCCAGTGCGGTTTCCATCTCCAGCAGGTCCCAATACTTGGTTCGCTTCTCGGCGTCGTCTTTGAACCACTGCTCGGCGATCTCCACGCTCTCCTTGTGGATCCTCTTCAGCACCTCCTGCGATGCGTCCGAGATTTCGGTGTGCAGCGACTGGCAGATCTCCTCGACGTCGGTCTTCGACTTGTAGATCGCGATCTCTAACGCCTTGTCGACCACCTCGGTGGCGTACGTCTTGGCGACGGTCCGCCGTTGCGTCAGAACCTTCTCCTCGAGGACGCCCGGTGACGGGTATTTGCGACTGCTAACGGCGCCGGTGTTCACCAGCGGCGATATCGAGCCGCTCAGTCTCTTGATCTCCTTCAAAAAAGCCGATTTGTCAGACTTGAAAACCACCCTTGCGTCCACCACGCTCTCTTTACTCGATATGCTCTTGCTGCTGGACCTCTCGTGATGATTGCAGCGGTGGTCCAACTTGGCACCACTGGCGTCGTACTTCTTCTTCTTGCACGAATGACAATTCTCGGAGCTGCTGCTGTGCGTGTGATGACTGCTCGACTTGTCGCTGCTGCGACGGCGATCCTTATGTTTCTTCTCCGACCTCTTTTCGTCCCTCTTGTCGCCGCTCTGCTTCTGCTCGCCGCTCTCGCCGTTCTTGGACGATTTAGTGCTGTCGAACGAGTCCGACGACGGATTGTCGGTGCCCTCTTCCTTGTCCTTGCGCTTAGGCGACGAGTGTCTGGAGTGATGCCGACTCTTGCGGTGTTTCCCGTGCTGGTCGGATTTCTTCAAGTTACCCTGATACTCGGCCGCCCTTTCCTTCGCCTTCTCGAGAAAGTCGATCGACTTCTGCTCTAAACGCTGCCGATTCGTGTTCTCCTTCTGCTCGTCGCCTATGCCGGCCTCCAACGGCTTCTTCTCCTTGATACGGTGAGCGGACTCGTTCACCACGCGACTGTGCCTGCTGTTAGAACTGTGCTGCGACTCCGGATAATACTGTTTCAGCCTGATGTGCCAAGCGATACTCGACACGGCCGAGACCGTCCTGAATTGATGGATGATATTGCGCGGTAGAAAATATATATCGTTGTCGTAAAGATTAATCTTGGCGTAGCGGACGCCCTGCCTACGCAACTGATTCAGCTTCGCGTCCTCCACCCACTGCACGCACTGCGATATCGGCGGCTCGTGCAGGTCCAACTGCAGCTTCTCGACGAGCTCGGTGAAGTCGCCCGCGTAGAAGGCCACGACGTCCTTCGTGATCCTGTTATACTCGGACGGTTGACCGCCGTGGACAGCTTTCAGCACGCCGACCGCCGCCGTGGTCATCCTGTCCAATCCGTGGCCGACGTGATCGGCGTGCGCCTTCGTGCGATCCTCGAACATGTACTCCCGAGCCTCGCTGAGCCGCGGTAGGTACTGGAGGTTTCTCAACTCGTTAATACCCGTTCTGCGTCTTTTGTACGGGCTCTTGTTTATGTCGGCCGTTGGAACCAATTGCTCGCCCGGTCGGATCCAGAGAATAGGACCGTCGTTCGACTCCTGTGGCGTGTCCATCTTAGCGACAGATAGAGGACCCCAAGGCATCGTCTGTGAAACGCGATACAAATGTATCAATAAATAAGTGCAATTAAATTATAATGTATATATATTGGTATATTTGCGATAATTTACCATTTTTAGGAACGGGTTCTCTTCCAACTTCTGCAGTAGATCCGGAAAATATCCGCCGACTTCCTCGTGAACAGTTCCTACGAGGCTTATTTGATGCAACGGCCCGTATCTGATGGTGCCGTTGCTGTAAGATTTGCACACTTGGTCTTTGTATTGAGCCATCGTGGTCGTTTCTATATCACTGCTTCTACCGAGTACTCCGTTTTTTACAGTCAACGTCGGATAACTATTCGCCATGTAGTCCAAAAGATCGGGCAGGTATGCGGCTGCATTGTGCACGATGCCCATAACGTGATGAGCGTTCCCATTTTCGTCCTCGCCAAAAACAACCTGGAAAATAGCGTCGTTTTTATTATTCGCTGTATTTACTAAATACCAAATTGGAATAGCTTTAAACCCACGCGTGCGATTCTTCATTTTATTATAAGATTATATCACGAGCTTACTTTGAAGTATTCTTGCGCCAATTCTTCCATTTGTTCGCGCGACAGATTATTAATCTCATCCTGATACATGTGGACCACCGTGGCACCGCCGTTGGGATACCATTCTATGTGAATGAACTTCTTATACTTTAGGCCTTCCAGCAATTCAGCTTTCACCGATGGATTGTCCAGCACCTTGTAGTTCTTCGTTTGTAGATTTAACCTTAGATTTTCATTGGTAGACTTGGAGAAGGAGAGCGGTTTGCTGCTCAACGAAGACAATACGTGACGATCGCGTTTGCACTGCACACCGATACTCGCTCTCTTTATCCCTTTGCGTTTGCGACACCGCGAGCAATATCGCCTGTCCTCCTTTGAATGCTTCTCTTTCGAAGATGAGTAGGTTTTCGAAGGCGAACTGAAGGACGAATTGGTGGATTTCTCTTGAGACGCCGTCGCAGTGTCGCCATCCGCCGTGGTTGAAGAACCATCTTCCGCCCATTCGGATTTGACCGTTTGAAGATCCTCCTGCGACAAGTCGACGGGTTCCTTCTTAATTTCAAGGGGTTCTGTCTTCAATTCATTGTCAATAGTTTCTTTCTCTCTGCAAGTATTTTCCTGCTTGTCAGATTCTGCCTTCATGATGTCAACTTGCGGATCGTCAGTCTTCGCCGGTGATGGACATAACGCGTACTCGATCACTTTGTCCACAAGAGTGCCCACGTTTTTGGTACTCTCTTCGTTATATTTTGCTGTGTCCATGATAACCGTGGAGTTTACCGGTGTCATGGAAAACGTCGGACTGTGTGGGTGAGGGCTGACGGAAACTCTCGGCGGATAGTCAGGGCTTCTTGGACTGCTGATCACTTCGCCGCTGCTTTGCGGGCTTTCACCCAACTGCGGTGTGTTGCTGGAGAAATTTACGCATCCTTCTAGTTTTGGTTTTGTCGATTTTGTGTGCATGCCTCCGGATAACATTGTGTCGTTGTTACATGTGGAATCGGCCTAAATGGAAAACAATTTATTAAATGACAAACAGTAGTATCATTGCCGCAATGCGATACAAACAGATATCAAAACTATCTTTCAATAAAAAAAAAACAATAAATACAATTTTAATACCATAACATATCAAAATCATAATAGTATCAAATTCAAATATTTAATATATAAACATAAAACAATTTTACGAAATTTTTGTACCTACATGTTTAACATGTTGAACTGGTTCCCTAGCAGCTTTTACTACATCATTGTAATCTGGATTTCCTGTATCATACATGCATCGTACTATTTAATAAAAATATGCATAAAACTTATATTTATTACATAACACATACAGATTATATTTAAAACAAAGTATATTTTATGGCTCATATAGAAAAAATGATTTTATATCAAGATTATTAAGCAAGGTTCTTCATAATTAGTTATATTAATTAGTGCCATTAGCTCTTACATAAGTCTATATAAAGTGGAATTACTTTCAATGGAATAACTATACATTATATATTTCTAAATTAATATCTTAGTATTTGAAACCAATATTCTATCTAGACTTTTATATATTTTGTAAACTGGAAATAATATAAATATAAGTAGTTAAAAGAAATAGATTTTATAAATATATTTTCTAGACATAATTCTTGTGTGTGCAAATAACAACTGCATATAAATACCACATATTTTCAAATCTAATAAACCTGCTTAGATCACCATCTAATTGCTGTTCATTCTGAATATACATTACATCAGAACATTGACATGTAACACTGATAAGTGACAAACTGTAAAACGGTTCAAATACTTTCCAGTATAAGATATAAGTTGTGAAAAATGCAGATTTCAACGAAACTGCTGTCTATTTAGGAAAAAAAATTGTCGGAAGGGCTTTGCACAACAGCGAATGACACGAAATGAGATTACCGTCTGGTTCTCCCGGAAGACAAGCGGCGCCGTCCAGGTCAGTTCTCTGGTGAGACATGCTGCGTTGCTGCTGATGGGACGGCTGCTGCGTTTCGTTGTCAGACTCGCCCGCGACTCGTTCTTCCACATCACCGCACGAGCTTGTGGGGCCCGAGTCCCTCCGTAAAGCGTGCCCTTCCGTGTTCGCGTGAAACGGTGACGCTGCAGGGAAACCCGTGGGCGTCCCGGGCGAATTACTCGCGGGATCGCTGGCGCGGCCGGCTGTCCTCTCGATGACGGCGTGCCACGTCGTTGCGGACGACGTACCGTCCGCTGTTTTGCTTCCAATCGACTCGGCCGCTCGCTGGATCGTATTATTTACATCGTATCCTACGTTTGACACGATCCCCGCACCATCCTCGGATGCCATCTTGATTCCGTGAGCGACATCCCGGACGCGGCGATACTACGCCGTTGTTGATTGGCGGCTGCGCTTGCCGGCGACAATGCGCGCCGATGACCATTCGTCGTACCAACATCGTCAAGTGGGGGTTCAACCAGTAGGCGGGACGGTTCTATCTGTTACTTACGAGAGACATTTTTATCCGCCGGAATCTTCGATCTCTAAACCTCGTTTTCCGCGAAACTTTTCGATTTCCGCGGCGCGCCGACCACACCGGTGAAACGCCGGCAACACGCGGGATTCATATATGCAATGCCCGCTTGATACTTGAGAGACTCAGGTCCGCTCGAATCTGCTTCACTCGACTACATTTGAAACTTTCGAATATGCTCTACGAAAAGTTAAATGAATTAGTCGCAGTCAAAAAATATTTATGTCATAAAATTGCAATTTCCAATAAACGTACTAATAAATACATCTAAGATGATGAATTTGACAATAAAGAAATTAGTTTTAATGTAGAATAAATATTTACAAATACCTTCTGATATATAAAATAATTTTTTTTACTAGAAATTTCTTGACGGTACGTTTATTTCTGAGCTACACACCGTGGTTCAAAAAAATCTGAAGATGAGCAGTAAATTGATAATTTAACATCAGCAAACTTCACATCAATTTGAATCTGATTGGTGCATCTTTTTAGATCTATCCAATCAGATTTGGCTCTAAATTAGTGAGATTTGCGATGCGGACTTTACGTTGGAATATTATGGTTTGATGATCTAGAAGATACGTGACTCGTGGCCATAGTCGCTGCGCGCCGCGCATTTGGTATCAGCGTGACGCGAGCGAGCATACACGGGGAAATAAACAGAGTGCGGCGTGTAGTGGTGGCAAGAGCGCGCGTTTAACGACCATGTCGTCGCCGAGCAAGAAGGCCAAGGAACTGGAGGATCCGGGCTCCGGCGAGGGAGACATACGTGACTACGACATCGAGATACAGAAAACCCTCGAGGAGATCGACGGGTGCCAGAATCAAATCGATGGCCTGAATGAGAAGGCCAGCGATGAGATCCTCGAGGTCGAGAAGAAGTATAACAAGCTGCGCAAGCCCTACTTCCAGAAGCGTAACGACATCATCAAGAGGATACCCAATTTCTGGGTCACTGCTGTATCCTTTCGATCGACGCGGCACTCGACGTTTTGTGAGTCGACAATGAAAAATGTGAGCGGCCGCGCTCCGTTTTGACGTTTCTCGGCGATGCCGGCGTCCGCCGGCGATACCGCCATCTTGCCTACTTGTATACGCGCATAAGCGTGTATAACCATGTAGATTTTTATATTCGTTTTACGAAATTGCGTTTTTTGTATCTTAATTATCAAATTAATATCGTGCTTTTGATTATTTATGCTATATTCTTATCGGCGTGGAAATGAACAATGATATGTCACGCCGAAATTTTTTACATTTAACATATAAATTATAATGTTAAGCATGCAGTACAATTCAATTGTTGCATGTTTCTCACTTAGACGGGTTTAAACTTAAAATTTTGCGTTTATGATTAATAATAATAAGGCAGGATTTTGTTAATTATTAATATACATGTTGAAATTAATATTATTCCTTATAAGAAATTTAGTTTGTAAACAACAAAGAAATAGCAGAAATATTGGAGGAAGATGAGGAAGATGCACTGAGATTCCTAAACAAATTAGAAGTTGAAGAATTTGAAGATATCAAATCTGGCTATAGAATTAATTTTCACTTTGATGAGAATCCATATTTTGAAAATGATGTCTTAACAAAAGAATTTCATTTAGGATCATCTGGTGAGCACATTTCTTATCTTAGCTTTCTGTTGTGACAATGCATGAAAATTGTAATAATTCGGTGTTTTAAGGAAAACACATGATATTTGTATTCAATCCAGTACCATCGTTGTAATGAATCTCCTGCTGTTTTGCAGGAGATCCAGCATCTCAAAGTACAACCATTCGTTGGAAAGAAGGTGGAGATTTAACAAAGAAAGCAAAAACCAAAGCACCAATGAAAGGACGTAAAAGGCCACTCAAACACAGATCATTCTTCGATTGGTTCACGGATCATGGAGACCCGAGTTCAGATGAAATAGCCGAACTAATTAAAGATGACATGTGGCCTAACCCATTGCAGGTAAAGTTCTTATTTAAATATTTTGATATATGCGAATGGTCTAAAAATTTTGTATTCTGGAATAAATTATTATCATTTTATGGGTTTTAGTATTACCTGGCTCCAGATATAGATGTTGAGAACGGTATTGAAGGAGATGGTGAAGAATGCGAGAGTGATGAAGAGGAGGAGGAAGAAGATGGTGCGGACGACGGCGATGAAGGAGGAGAAGGAGAAGAAGGAGACGACAGTATAGTAGTTGTCGAGGATGATGTGGATGAGGATGATGATGAAGAGGAGGCTGTGAATGATGAAGATGATGGTGTAAATGAGGAGGATGATTTACTGGTAGACGATGAAGTAGATCGCGAAGGTAGGCATAAAACAACAAACTTTGTACATTATTACGTAGCACGCTTGATGTTACAAAGAGATTTATTTAATGATTACAGAGGGAGAGGAACCTGAATAGAGTCGGAGTTGAATTTCGGCGAACATACTTCACAAATATTGTGAAAGGTAAAAAAAAAAAAAAAAGAAAGAAATTATATGCACCGAATCAATCAAGAGCAGAGACAGTCTACTGAACTAAAAGTATGCCATATGAATAAATCTCAGGACACAATTTTTTTGAATATATGAAAATAGGAAAGCAGAATTTAGAGGATCTAGACTCTTTCGATTGAAAACCTATGTATAAAAATGCAGCGTTTATTAAGATATATTAAAAGTGGTTTGAAAGGAAAGGGTCTGGATTAGATTAGATAGGTTTCACTCTTGCACTGAATCTGTATCAAAACATAATACGAATTCCTCAGTTATATTCATATGGCCTAGTCGATCCCTTAATAAAATATGCGTCAGGTTAATATTTGCCTGATTCTTGATATTGCGGATTCTATCGGTAAGTTAGATATAAAATAGAACGAGGCACTAGGTGGGGAGTCCCATTTAATTGCTTTCTGATGAGAATATATTCTTTAGATATGACTTCCAGAACGAGGTGTTTTAAATAGAATTTTTTGAGAGTGACAATTGTATCCTTACCGCACATGAAATACGCAAACTTTTTACATAACTACTTTCTTGATATTATTTTTAAGTAAAGCAGACAATAGAATAATTTTTTGCTATATCCAAGCTTATATGTGTTTCACAATTAACGTTGTTGATTTATTGTAACAGTAGTGACGAAATGCTTATCATTCATGATTATTATTAACGCTTTAATATACGATTATATACCACAATTTTATTACATTTTTATTTCATTTATTTTTGTTTACGTACAATTTTATATTTCATGAATGTGTATAACGTAATATAGTATTTTATCTAGAAATTATGCATAGAAAATTTATATTATGCAACAACAGCATATGATTTTGACTAATAACATTATATCAATAAATGAGAATACTGCAACTGTATATGTATTACTATAATATTAATATTTGCAGCTATGTATAAAATATAGTTATTATCTTAATATTTTAGTTTATGTGCAACATTTACAAGCTCATGATCATATCTGAGTGATGTAATATGCTGCTGCACTGTCTAATGCTCAAGAAACCTTTAGTTTATTATTCATAGCGTGCATTTATAATACAATCATTATCACAAATGCAATTGTTTATATTGTTATTCATCGACGACATCGATCGCAGTTTTGTCACGCTCAAAAATACTTTGATCTTATTTCACCTCGTTCGTGTTCTTCCACACTTCGTGTCACGTAAAGTAAGTGTTTCGTAAACATTTCTCACATTTGATACATTACTTCTAATGGTGATTTCACTTTACGAGATTATCGTTGTATGTATGTATGTGGTAAAGTTGAAGTCAGCGTAAAAAAAAAAAGAAAAAAACAATCACGACGGTGCTTTCGCATCTTCTATAGTCGACGTCAATAGAGAGAAGAGTGCGTATAATCGATACAAGTTGTTGGCTCTCCACATCTACATCAATAAATCGAATCTCGTTATTATCCTGCATGATGGGTTTCGATGCCTAGGAAGAAACAAGCAATCACTGGATCTACTCGGAAATAGAACAGGCCGGCGGTCGATTTGATAAGACAAGCTCTAATCGTCTTTAATTTTAGAATGAAGTACAACAGCGATATTTTTTAATTAAGGATATGTGTTGATTTATCATTCGGATACGATTCTGTCAGTATTTATTAGATTAATATACGTGTTAACCGCTAACATGTGTGAGAAAAGGAAAAAAAAAACCATTGTCAAAATTATAGAAATAATGAGATCAATAAGATTCGTATTTTATCATGGGACGCTTGTGTGTTTGTGTATGCATTCATTGATACCTATCGATTCGATTCGTTGCGTCTTATGTGAAAAGGAGCATTTGTCTATTTGTCCCCTCCTCGTAGGAAACGGCGGATGTAATATAAATGTTTTTTTTTATCCCGCATTTTTCAACGACACCGACATGGCAGCTGGCCGAATTTTTGCGTGTACGAAAACGGATCTTTAATCGCACAAAGGATAAGTGTGTCAGTGAGGATGAGACGCGAGGGCAAGTGTAAACCTTCACATCAGGCAACGTGCTCGTGTTACGCAATCATGCAACAAATCAATCGAATAAAGTTGCCAGTTTGAGATACAAACGAGTTTTAATATCGTCCATTAGTTGTAGATATGAGATAGGATGTTCTCCACGTCTGTCGCCAATGATGCTTATTGTCAGTTACATTGTTGCAACTTATTTCGCGGTAGTCTGCGCAGAAGAAGAGTTCGGCGATTTCGAGGATGATTTCATATGAATTCTACAATTGAATAAAAATTCTCCTTTCCGGAGTCGATAGTCGCCGTGGGAGATTCCGTGGGACCGACGCCAACTGCTATCGGCCGAAACTGCGGAACAGGAAGCGGCCGACCAAATAAATTTGTCCACGGCCTCTCAAGAAGCGTGTTAACCATCCGTCCTTTTTTTTCCCCCTCGTGAATTGTCAAATTCTCCGCTTTTTCTGTCGACACACTCATGATCGTTCCGGCGCTGTTACAAGCAGACCGAGCACATGCTACGCTGTCCTCGTCGTCGCGGCAAAAAAGTGCCACTTCGGAGACGCCAGCAGCGAGCTTCGAGGATGACGCGTGTGCTTCTGGCGGTGTGAGACGGCCAGGATTTTTTCACAATGCGTAACACTGTGAGATCGAGGTGTTACGTGTGTCACGGTCAGCATCGATATCATTGCCTCGATGATTGTGAACGATACTCCGTCCCGAGCGAGGAAGCAGCTTCGTATAAGTCGAATCGAGTTCAGGTCGAAGTCAGGGTCGCTACAACAATTTCTAAAAATTAATAATTCTCATAACAAGATAATGAAGTTCTATTAAAATTGCAATATATCGCTACTTTATTAGATTTCTCTTTCGATAACAATTCTTTTCTTGATAATGCTGAAAATTGATAAGATTTTTTATTATCCAAATTAAAAGCCTAGGCGATTAATATCGTCACCAATAACGTTACCATTTATGAATAATAATTTGTGTGATTGCAAACTTCCACTTGTTAAGATTTGGAGGCAACACGCGCTCGGTGGGTGGTACGAAATTTCGCGCGACAAGGGAGCCACTGTTGAGGAAGTTTCGGCAAAAAATGGTGCTTTGTGCCGCGGCAAATGGAGGAGCAGAAGCCGCGAAAGAAACGACAAGGACGACGATCTCAAAGAAATGGTGGGGCGTATTCGCGTTTTACGAGCCGGTTACTCGATGTCGAAAAATGCCTGCAAATATTAATGCAAAATTAGATACTTATCTGATGAATAGGAATCACAAAGGTAAAGGTATACTTTAAAGCGAATTCTTTGTTTACATTCTTGAAGAAAAATTTGCATATACTTACTTTGAATATAAAATAGAGTTTCCTAATCATTTTTATCGTGCCGCAGCGATAAAGTGACGATTTTAAAAATGATGGAACTCGTCCGCTTCGCTTCTGCTCAAATCATGCTATTAATCAACGCAGGGAGTTGTGTGTGAGTACGAGTGTGTTTATCTAACGAGATAGAAAAAGACGGACGGCTGGTCTTACTGCGCGAAGACGCGTTGAAAAAGGAGGGAGGACGAGAGCGGAGGATGGAAGGAGAGGCCCAGACCTGCGAGGGAGAGATGTACAAAGGTGCAGATGACAAAACCGAAGTGCCGGCGAACCGAATGCTTCAATGCAAGCCGAGCGCTCATCCGAGGCGCACTGGGACAAAACTTCGTCGGAGCAGTCACTCGCACGTTTTTCTAAAAGAAGTTTCAGTAAAAAAGGATAAGAGGAATCGACGGTTTCTCGCGGAGGGAAATACAAAATCGCGGTGTTTGCTCGCGAAAATTCCGGCGAGTATAATACAATCGGCGGAGATCGATGCGGGAAAATGGCACGATACATCGATTTCGGCGCGCCTATTATCCTTTTCCTGGTGGTCCACCTGGAGCAGCTGGCACTGCACAAACGAGGTATATTATTTCTAGTCCAGGACAGCGATTGAATTTCTAAAC